CAGAGAGAAAAATTTGGCAAAAATAATTTGAACTTGCAGAAGAGAAACCTGGGTTTGATTGCCTTTGAATTAAAAGAATTTTATTCCAAATCTACAGCTGCTTTTCTGCCTAATTTTCAGTGCTTTTAATTTTAATTGCATATATGGATTATATATGGTTACTAAAATATTGTTTTTTTTTCAGTCATTGCCTTTCCATAATTTAAAGATATATATTTTAAAGAAAATTTAGTACCTAAAATATAAAAAATATGTATTAATTATTATTACCCCAAAATTCCATGATATGCATTCCATCTAGGAGAAATTTCATACTGAGTAATATTTTGAAAAGGACACAGTTCATATTTATACCTGAAAATAGAAACAATTTTAAAATGATTAAAAACTAAAAATGGAAAGAACTAATCTGAGAAATACACTGAATTGAAATGAATTTAAAAGAAGTGTTTGTGTGCACATGCACACCAGGGAAAATATCATAAAAACAAAATGCAGTAGTATATGTTCCTGTTAAAATATCATTAAATTTCTTTTTAATTTTATGACTTTTTTTCTTTCATAGCAATAATTTTATCATAATATAACCTTTCTTAGATTTTCTTTTCCAAAACTTTCTAAACTATGATCTTTGATTCATGACTTACTGCTTTTACATTATTTACCATTCACGACCAAATTTACAAATGTTCCATTTTTCGTTTTAGATAGAAAGATAGTTAAAAACAACAGTTAGAAGATCTATGTGATATTATTTGAAGCTATACTCATGAAATAAATACCACTGTCTAAAGCAAAACTATTTATTTATTATTAGAAATCAGACCTTATTTCTTGATTAAGATTTCATAACTAGATGTACAAATATAGACTGAAATAGAAATCTTGATAATCCAGAATTCATGAATTAAGCTGTGAATGGCTTGGAAATGGCAGCTTCATCCAGATTTAGTTCTCTGTAAGAGTGAATTTTTCATCAAGATATTTTAATTTCAAATTTGAAGACAGAAAATTTTGTATAGTTTTCCTTTCAAAGCAATGGACAAATTCCATATGAAAGGTGGAAATTTTGGCATATCATACATCAAACCAATAAATTTAGAAAATTTTAATTTAGTGGAATGTTGAATTTTTTAAATTATAATTAAGTTCTTAAATAACATAAAACACTATTTTAATCCTCTTAATTCTTAATAATACATGCTTCAATATAGTTTTAATATTTTTTTTAAACATTTTTCTCCCAAAATAATATTTTTAAACAATATAATCATGCAAATAAAAATATCTGCTTTAACAAAAGTTTTCCTAAATAATAATAATAATAATAATATTATAATAAATAAAAAATAAAAATAAATTCTTAATAAAGTTAGGAAAAAAAAACATGAAAGCAGTACCTTTAGTGAGGGTAGTAATCACCACCTAAATCTATGACTTTTTGCCACCGTTTTGGTAGTTTTTCAAAGCCATTGGCCCAGAAACTTGGTGGCCCCGAGTCCAAAAACTTATCAACCTCATTTTTGACATCCTGTGCAGAATGGAAGAGAGCTGAAAGTGTGAAAAAAGGTAGATATCCACAGGAGTGATGTCAAGGCTATATGGTGGTTGTGGCAAAAGATCCCATTCGAATCTGTATAGAGTACAGCCGGTGAATGCCAACATATGTGGTCTTGCACTACAGTGATGAAACATTACCTTCTTTTGCCGGAATTCAATTTGATGGTTTTCCTTGATAGCAGTATCAACACGAACTAGCATCTCGCATATGGATAACTAAACTAAAATTTGCTATATTGCTGTACACCTTACCATCAAGGGTTTTAACTTTTTCCAGATACTCTTTGTGGATAATAACACAGTAATCCCATCAGATATAAATCACGATCTATCTTTTTGTTAGTCAAATTGAGCTTTGTAACATTGCCAGCGGGTTCACCAGGCGCAAACCAACCCCCTTTTTGCCCTGTGTTGTTGAGGTAAATCTATTGTTCATCCCAACTGATGATCCAGTCCAGAATTTTGTCCTTGCATTGATATATGAGTAGATTAGTGCAAGCCCAAACATGCTGTCCTTATCTGCTTGAGTCAGCTCATGCGGCACCCAGCGAATGAACTTGTGCGTCAAGTTTATGCAGCGCATAGTGTGATTAATGGATGTAGCACTGATGTATAACTCCTTAGCAAGCTGTCAAGTGGTTGCATATAGCACTAACGTCTAACTCTTTAGCAAGCTCTCAAGTGGTTGCATACTGATTTTCTTCCACAAGTTCTTGTAGGAAGGCTTCATCAACATCAGTAGGCCAGCCAGAGCGCTCTGCTTCTTAAATGTCATATTTCTTGAACTTTCAGCATCAAACCTTCACAGTGTCACATAATACAACATTAGTACCTAAAATTGTGCACATGATTTTGTGACATTCTGTAGCTGACTTTTTGTAACAGAACTGGAAGTAAATGATGGTTCTAATCTGGTAATATGATAGTTCTGTTCCTTGTACTTAAAGCTAACAATATTTTTAACAAATTTCACAACACAGTGTTCTAAAGGAAGTATCTTTCTTTCAAATGCCAAAAATCGTTTGACAAAATATGATTAAACATGCTAATGCACACTGTTTGTGCAGACGATATTTGCGATGGTGGGAAACTTTCATTAAAATCTGATATATGCTTAGCATATTATAGAATTCATACGATGAATGAGGTCTAATTTCAAGAACTCATCTTTGTGAAAGCTGCTGTCATTAAATTAATTTGATCCCTCCAAACAACAGTAAAAATACATTTCTTTTATATCTTGAGTAAATTTATTTCCAGATAAGAGCAACCTTTCATCATGTAATAACATCATGAACACATATATGTTTAACATACATGTTACATGTGCTGATGTTTCTATGTCATTTCATAATATATATCATGGCAGATAGAATAATAATTAGTAATTGATAACAGGCTGTAAAAAGAATATAACAGATCACATCAATAAGAGTAAACATAACAATTTTGCTATGTACATTTTCTATATATCTTTATTGGGCATTATATTTTATTCATTGTGCATATGCTTTTAACTTTTTAAAAGTTAGCCATTCAGTTATAATGCTAAGAGTAAAACTTTACAAATGTTTATAGTGTGTAAATATATATAATTACAAATGTTTACAATGTGTAAATATAATAATGCACAAATATGTGCGGGTATTAAAGAGGATAACCACAGAATATATCTGCAAAGTCCTTATAAATATTATGCAGGCAAACAAATGTTTACTTTGGAGATGCATATGGATAACTAAACTAAAATTTGCTATATTCATCATAATGTGCTATTATGTCAAAACAATTAGTGGATATCTGTTTAATGTGTGATAAAGTAAATAAAAGTGTGATGTGATAAAGTGCATTCTAAATCAAAGTGTAAAATAAATAAATTAAAGAAACTAAATAGATATATGAAATCTCAGTAAATGTCAAGAGAACATGAGTATTATATTTAGCTTGAAATATTTATACAGAGTTGAATGATTCAACTTGAAGCAATAAAAGATGGATGACTACTCAGGAGAGCTCTAACGTGGTGGTGGGGTTAACACGCTGACTGCCAACTATGTGATAGCTTATGGATTATATTCTTGTTCACACACTGACTATAACTCATGGTGCTTTTATTTGTCTTTTTGTTTGGAGCTGTGTTTATGGTCATAGAATATAGGTGTATTAATGTATATTTAAAGGGCGAAAATTCTGGAGAATAATGGCCTGCCGAAGTATAAAAATTATATCCTTGTAAAACTCCCACAATAAAATGTCACTTGGAATTAAATTCGAAGATTCATATGGCACATAGCATAAATACAGTATAGATTTATATGCTGTTTTCATCATCTTGTATCTATTTATATGTGGATTAGTTCAAATTTGTGTGACATTTTTCATGTACTGTGACTAATGAATTCTTCACCAAGGATTAACGACCCCGTGCAATGGTGGGAAACAAATCTTCTCTGCCTGATAAAATGGATACATCTACAGTTCAGAACCACATGCTAGAACCGACAAACGAAATGCTTCGTTTTGCAGATAAATTTTTGGGAGCCAACTGGAGTGCTTTAATAAATGTGGACTCACTTATGTTATAGGACTACTTGTGTGCTTTACAAACTATTGAAAAGCTGAAAACAAAGATTATGACAATCAACATGGATTTGAAATCATTGTGTGCTAGTGGTAACACAGGCTATTCAGACTATCTATGCCAGGGAGCACTGATTTGCAGAAAGACTATTAGAGATATATAAAAGAAAGTGCAAGTTGTTTTTGGTGCACACGATCCTGATTGTATTAATTTAAGTGTTATTGATATTTAAAAAAGTTATGGCTAGCAAACTTAAAAATGTTAAAGCTGTAAAGCCTGTAAGAATACTGATGGAAATAATGATAATGACTCTGATGTAAATGGTATTAATACTGTATCAAATGTTAATGATGATTCTGGTAATGTTAATGCTAAGTCCAAGAGACCATCAAAAAAGAATAAAAGGTCAGCTACTGATATCACGGACAATGACGGCCTTACTCAGCCGAAAAACCCAGCTAGGCTGTCTAAGTTAATTAAGTGTAATGTAGATATCCCAGTAAGTAATAAATTTAATGGCTTAAACATAAATGATAATGGTAATCACAACATGGAACAGGGTGAGCCCGAGATTATTGAAATTGTAAACCCCCCCCCCCCCCCGAAAATTAAACCTATCACAGTAAAACCTGTAGAAAAATTTTCTGACTTCGTTAAAAAACTAAAGAATGATACAAAACTTGAATTTGCAGTTAAAATTAATGGTGAGTTTCTGAAAGTGTTCCCTAAGACAGAAAGTGACCACAGAATAATTACTAAATACTCAGATGACAAACAGATAGATCATTATTTAATAATCAGCAAGGTAGAAAAACCTATTAAAGTTATCTCCAGAGGACTACCCATAGATTGTTCTAAAGATGAGATTCATGAAGAGCTTACAGCTCTTGGCTATAAAGTGTGTAAAGTCTCACAAATGCACAGATTCAAAACTAAGGTTCATATGCCTCTTTTTAAAGTCCAGTTGGAGAACGTACCAGGTGTAGAAGATATTCACAATATAACTTACTTCATGTGTTTCTATGTTACTGTTACCCCATATAATATTATCGGAAGTGCTGTGCAGTGTTGCACGTGGTTGCGGCTGTGTGCAACAACAAACTATGAGTATTGGAATTTGCCAGAGTTTTTAAGGATGAATTCATAACATGCCATAAGAGCCAATTTTTAGATAACAAAAACATTTAATCACATTACAATAGTAAAACTTAATTAGTACAGTTGACAGACAATCACGTTGGAGGAAAGCGAGTGACCAACCGCACCGACGACGAGACATGACTGTGTGTCGCTGATATCACCTTCGGTTACAGTTAGTGATAACGGCGTGCGGTTGGCGAGTACAACACAAAGTTTACAGAGTCACCACACTACTCCCCCTCCAGTGGCAATGAATTAAAGGTACCGAGGGTTAAATCGGACTCTACGTCCGGAACGTGTATGCTGAGGAGCATTTGTTTTCTGGGATCCAGGCACAGGAACTGATGTAGTAGTAGACGTTGGTGTAGACCCAATAGATGAAGGTGCCTTCAAAGGAGGCGGGTGGACTTCATCCCTATTTCTCACCTTCTTCAGCAGCAGTTAAATACCATTTCCACTTCATCACATGCCCTCCACGTCACCCAGACGAGTTCATTGAAAAATTTGGGGATGGTCATAATGTTTTGGCTTGTCAGTGAACACACATCTATATATATATATATAATTAAGTTAAATTATAACCATACATGCAATTTTATGAATTTAATACCAAGACCAAAAAGAATTTTTTAATTATTAAAGAAAGAACACAAAAACCTGGTTTCTCCCCACAGATTGGACAGAAATAACATGCTTCTCAGTGTTTCCCCCCCCCCATCTTGGGGATAAATTTGACATGGTTTTATTGGATGTCTTTTTTTTTTCAGTTCCTCCCCCCCCCAGAGTGGAAAACTTTGTAAATAATAAAACTCTTCTAATCTAGTTCCTTTTTAAATTATTAAAATCTCTTTTTCAATAAATGGTTTAACGAATGCTTCTTTAAGTTTTATTTTAAAAAGAGTCATTATTCAAAACATTTTGTATGTATTGTATTTTTATATTTCTATATTATGAAATGCAATCATTTTGAGCAATTTAATAGTCTTCATTGGAAAAGTGTAATATGACAGTATTTGATATGATCAGTTACTGCTGGAAATTACATATCTTTTATTATAATTTCAAATTAGATTCAGTTTTATTGAAAGTTTTTCACTCTGGTTGAATAATTCAATATTCTATATTATAATCCGAGACTTGAATAATATTACATGGTTAAATCAAATTGACTTGAGGAATCAGAATCCTAGAATTTCCTGTAAATATATTAAATGGAAATTTTTGAAAAGTAACAAAGTGCTGTAATGATATTTTTTAAGTATTTTGAAAAGTCTTTATATGTTGAATCTTTGATACTAACATAAACATATCTAAAACTTAAGATTTAAATAAAAAAATTACCTTTCCTGAGTCAAATTATAGCATTTTCCATCCAATCTCTTCAGTAATGTTGGTCCACTAAAATTTGCTGGAGGGATTGAAGTATATAGCTGATTGGTATTGTCAGTATCCCCATAAATATTTCCAAAACTCCTAAAAATTAAGAACTTCACTAAATATTTTATAAACACATCTTAGTCACACAATAAAATTGTTAGTAATATTATATACAATGCTGGCCATTAAAACACTGCACAAGGAAGGAAAGTGATTAGCAGAATCTTATTTATTGTACACATGAGGTGTAATAGGAGGAAGACATGATTAAATTGCAGGTAGTTTAGGGTACAGGGTGTGCAGAATTTAGTATACACAGCTACCATCTTTGACAATGACAATGACTGTAATCTAGCTAGGCATCATTTTAACTGAACTTAGATGGCAGGCACTGGTACTTCACTCTATCAGACTTCAACCCTGTGCCAGAGTTTGTCAATCATAATGGTGGTGTGCCAGTCTCTTCGAAATCCATGATCAAATGTTCTCAATGGGTGAGAGATCTAGAGAATGTACTGGACAGGGCAACAATTGAACACCCTCTGTATCGAAGAAAATCAAACAGCAAAGGCAACATGCAGGCCTCAAAGACAGGGCACAGCCACGGGCCTTAATACATCAGAAATGTAATGGCAACTGTCCACATTGCTAGCTATGTGAACAAAATGTGACCAGGCTCTGCAAATGCTAGACTTATATACAATAACAAATGCAAGCTAATACAATTAATTTTTCTCACCTTCTTTACACATTGATACATATATCATGATATTATATGCAGAACTGGGATTCATCTGAAAAGATGACATGATGCCATTTCTGTGTATGGTGTTGCTATACCACTGTAGGTGCACCTGTCCCAGCTGTACCATTAAGAGAAGCCATAACAATAGTCAACATGTTGACAGTCCGAGGTGCTGCAGATGTCGTCACACTGTCCACACAGACATTTTTCATCTTTTACACAGCAGTTCCTGATTCAGGGTACATGACAAGGCTGTATGATCCTGCGAGGCCGAGAGGACATGATGTTTGTGTTCTCGCCATTGCCTCAGGTTTCAGTATGGCCCTTCTGAACCCACAGATTCCATATCTGCCTGATAGTTATGGGACTTTGAACAATCGAGCAGTAATGTCATAGAACTGTAAACCTCAGTTCCAATAATCCCCAAACCAGCAATAGCCGATTTCCAACACATGATGGTAGGAGTTTCTCCTTCTTACATGAGGCATAACTGACCTTTAAACAAATAATCAATGCTCAAATGTGATTTCCAAATGAGAAACCTGCTGTGCAGTCCTCCCATTTATACATAATGCAGATAGCACTACTCATACCTGCTTTGTGCACACATACTGGAATGCTAATCCTTTGCATACCCGAGCAAGTAGTGCCTTTCATGCATATCGTTGTATGCCATCTTTATGATGCAGCAATTTTAATGGCTAGTTTTTATACAATACATGTCACCCCTTTTCTATTTCGGAACTCCAGAAAAAGCTTACACAACTGATCATGAATGAAAGATAATATAGGGAAAGTAGTGGAAATTTTTTTTGGCCGAAAAACCTGTATTGTGTTTTATGATCCACCCTTTTTGTAAATTTTTTAGGTAATAAATTTCACTTGATCATTAATGCAACCAACTAATCTTTATCTGTTGTTTTGTAAATCTCATTATTACAAATTATAGAGATAAAAAAAAAAAAAAAAAAACTAAAACTAAAATTAAACTCACTGGCGCAACAGCCCTAATGGGCCAAGGCATGCAGTGCTCAAAATTTGCTTTCTTGACCGTGGGCCCCGGGGTGCGTGAGCATATGCCCTGAACAAGTAGTCAGCTTGTCACAGGACCCCTGGTGTTTAGACCCCAAGAGAACTTGGTACTCATTCTATTGACCCACTGATTTCAGGGGATGAAAGGCTGAGTCGACCTTGTCCAGCCCAGGGATCGAACCCCGGACCCGAGGTGTTGCTGCTGCGCAACGCGCTAGCCAATGAGCTACCGGGCTTATAGAGACAAAAGGATAAGAAATTATTCTTTTGAATTACTCAAATACATAGTCTTTTGCTACATTAATGTCTAAAAGTTTCAGCAGAAGCAAGAAATAGGTAGTTGAGAGTTTGGATATATTAACAAGTGCAACAAGAGCATTCTCAAAATGCATATATTCCACCAACTTAACATTTCTTAAGACTCCTTTTTGAGTTAGTTACTGAATTGCTAAGGAAGTTGAAGCATATACAATTATGTATAAGTTAATAAATATATGTTAAAGATGTAATACCTTATAAATTTGATTAAATTAAATATGATTCATGAAATATGTTAAAGAAACTGATAGCATGTAACTCTTTGATAGCATTATTGAGAAACATAGTTTGAGATAATGGCACCAGTGGCGTAAATAAGAGTATGCAAAGAGTGCCGTTGCATAGGGGCCTGAAGGCTTAAGGGGCCCTTAAATGTTCTCCTGAACTACATTCACATGATTAAACTTAAAAAAATACGCATTCTTTTATAAATACTATGACCAAGGGCAAGGTGCCCCCATAAAAGCTGAATTCAGTTAACACTGAATTATCAAAAATCACGTACCAAAATGCCGGGTATATTTCAATGGAAATATCCATTTTGACCGTTCTCAAATCCATTTCTACAGTTTATTTTCGTGACATTTGTATGTATGGACAGAATAAAGGGCTCTTCCTTTCAAAAAGGATTATAAAATGGGTTTAAAACGAATTCAAAAGGGATTTTGTTTCATGACATCTGTACGTTCGCATATACATGCATATGTACGCGTACAGAGAGATATATATCTCGCATAACTCAAAGATGATTAGCCGTAGAACGTTGAAATCTTGTATATGGGAGTGCTATAATAGATAGTTGTGCACTTCACTTTTTTATTGCAATTGGCAGAATATATATCCATCTTAAAAGTACTGTAAATTTAATAGGGGGGCCAAAAATGTTTTTGCATAGGGGCCCGAAAGTTCTAGTTGAGCCACTGAATGGCACTATTATATGAAGATGAATTAATATCTCATTTACAGGCTTAGTACTATTTTACGATGTAGCTGGCTTGGCTATTTTGATGTAACAGGTTAGTTTTAATTCTAGAGTCTAAAAAAAACCTTTTTGGGGAGGCAAACCTCTTATAGATAGAATGACCCAGAAAAAGATTTTTTATTAATAAGCATATGAATGAACATATGAATATTCCAATATTTATGCAAATGATCCAAAATAGTTACTGGGCCTGAATAAAGAAGCTATATCATGAATAAAATATAGTAAATATTAAATATTTTAATTGCTGTCTTTATTGCTACATACCATATTTCCTTGCCTATTTCCCCCCCCCTTTTTTTTTAATTTTATCATCTGAAAATCATATGGGGAAAATTATGCAAGTAATTTAATTTCCAAAGGATTTGGTAGCAGTATAAATGTAGCAAATGATAAATTAATTAATTGTAACTATTATATTATTTCTTTAAAAGAAACCTACATTCCAATAAAAATACACTAATATTAACATTGCAGTATCTCACAAGATATCTTGATTTCTATTTCCTTGTAACTTGAATGTCATCTGTTCATAGTTGCCCACTGCTACTTCCTAGGGCTCAAATTATTCAATGCTGCTGGAACTGCTATCTGCATTGTCTGCTGTGCAAGTCATCACCACTGCCATCATCTTTGTCACCATTAAGTCTGCCTTCCCACATGTAATGATTTTCAGAACCATTGAGAGCATTAGATATTATCTCTGTTTTCTTGCAGTTCTACACTATTATTATTTTATTAATCAGAACCTTATTGAAGGGCAAATCAATTCCATAAATAATTTTTGATTTTCAAGTTCTAATAAAATTGTGCAACTCTGCTGAGGCCTTGCAGGAATAATGGCAGGAATAGTGTTTGTTCAATTCTTTTTTTTGTTTGTTTGTTTTGGTTTTTCCACGAGATACTTGAAGAAACTGCCCAAGACTAATAGTGACTTCTTATGTTGAAGAGCATATGGCTGATAGTTCCATACAACTTTGAGCTACTCTTTCAGTAAGATGGATAACATCTAGCCTTCCTCATTTACCCTTACTATGGTACCAAAAGAAAGTTTTTGTTTCAGTATCATCTTCCATTTATTTAAAAACTGATAAAGGTGGCAATTTTTTACTGTTACTGTATGCTACTTGCAGTGCCCCTTTTTAGTTCCTGTAATTTTTAGTAATTTAGATGTTCCCTTTTGATTAACTGAAGTCATATTAAGCATGTTAAAAATACAGAATTTATCTGTATTTCCTACATGCCCAAGATCATAATTGCAGTTTGTTCTTTGCTGCATCACAAACCCATTCTAACGCCTTTTCTCATTAATCCGCAAGCATTGTTCTTCTCCTTAAACAAGTCCATTTTTTCTGATGAAAAAATCAATCCATCCATTGTTTGCTAAAATGCTTCTTACCCCCATTAGGTTAAAAACTAAAACAGTTCTTACCCCATTAGCTAGCTAAAACGGTAAATCCAGCTAAAATGGTTCTTACCTCATTAGGCACGAAGTCAAACTGGGCTTGTGACAGAAATGAGCAACTCATTCCATACTGCTTAAAGTCTATGCCACACTTCATCAACTTTATTACCTGGAGAGGGGTGGCAGGCCAGTCTTTCAGTAACCCATGATCAGATGTTTTCAATGGATGACAGATCTGGAGACTGTGCAGGCCAGCACAGCAATACAAAATACCCTGTGTACCAAGGAAGGTCAGAACACGAAGTGCAACATGTGGTGTTGCATTACCTTTTTGGAACATGGCTTTTGAGGGCCTCAAAGATAGGGCACAATCCCTGGATGAAAGATGTCAGAAATGTACCCATCTGTGTTAAAATTACTATCAATCCAAACTAGTGATGTGCTGTCGTGTACCCAGTGGTTGCCCAAACCATCATACCAGGTGCAATGCACCTATCCCGATATCAAATGCAAGCAGATGTGCGTTCTCCTCGGATACTCCAGACTTGTATATATATATATACAGTCAAAAGTCGTTAATCCGGACTCGTCGGGACTTCGGCGATTTCGGATTATCGATTTTTCCGGATTATAGATCATCAGTTTAAATCTCGTAAGATGGCATGCAGAAAACTAAAATTAAAAATATGAAACCGTAATTTATGAAATAAAAAACAATTATGATCTAAAGGGTATCAAAATTTACAAAAAAAAAAAAAAAGCTTAATATTTATTTGTTTACTTTATTAAACATATCTTTCAAAGTAAGTTGTTTAAGTTGCTTCGTTTTATGTGATAATACTTTCTCTTTAATTCTATAAACAGACATAATTTCTTGTTCAGTTCCAAAGTTCCGCTGTTCAAGTCCCGTAATTGCTGTGCCGAGAATACCGACTAACTTGTCAATAGAAATTTTTTCCTTTTCACTAACCTCTCTGTCACTTTCTTCATGTCTTTATCCATTTTTTGCAGCAATTCCACTTTTTGTTTGATGGACATCGAAACATATTTTCGTTTTATACAATCCTTTGAGAGCTCCAGAATCGGAAATTCTATTTGACATAATCGAAAGTTCAAGTTTACTTTTATAATTTGCGCTTACGGTCTTCAAAAAATAATAAGCCGGATTCAATTCGAAAATTAAGGAACAACGCAATCATCAACATTAACTGAAATAGATAATTAGATAATTTTAGCTGATACCGTCCGTTATACATAAAACGCGCACGCGAAAACGTATTCTGCGCTTGCGCAAACGCATATGCGCAGTCGTAAAAGATCTTATGCGCACACGTAAGCGCCTATGCGCATATGTCAACGCGGCGCATGCGCAGAAAGTTTTTAGCTTTGAGGTTCGGATTATAGATCATTCCGGATTATGGGTGTCCGAATTAATGACTTTTGACTGTATATATGTAAAAATGTATCTGTGTGTATATATCTGCACACACACATATATGCACATACAAACATAAACATCTGCAGACATACATACATACACTTCTGAATCTGATCCCAATAACAGAAGAGTATGAAAAATTCGATTGATCTTTGGATTATGGTAACTTGGCTATTTTTTGGCGACCAACTCTGCTACAGCAACCCTCTATTTTTTTTCGCCGCCATTTTGTCTTCACGAAGTAAAGACATGTTTCTTTTCTTTTTATTTACTGAACACTTTTTCCAACAATCTACTAGCCGAATTACACTTATGCTAGAAATTTTATGTAACAAAACTCCTTAATCATGACAAATATTAACTGCAAAATTGGGAAAAAGTGCACAATCGCAAACTCCTTGCGCATTTTTCAGAATAGCACATACACATAAACCATGTACACATCAACTTATTTTTACTTAAAAAAAAATCCCAGAATTGCACAAAAATGGCATTGTGCACACTCTTCAATATATCCATGTACACTGCTTTTTTCTCATAAATTAGAAAAATTTCACGAAAATGCATGAAAATTTTGTGAATCTTTAAACCCGGTAAAAAGAACATATATGAAATTATAGCATCGCAAAAAAGTATATACCCTTTCCAAAGATGAACATTTCCACGTATAAAATAAATAAAATATCCAAAAACTTTTACCTCTAAATTATCTATTATATTATAAAGTTACCAACGAATTTATACCACAAACATTATAAACGGTTACAAATACTTAGTTATCAAATATTTAAATTATTTCCATGCACGTTTACTTCAACTGAAACGTATGCCAAATTCCTACAAAACATAAAATTCACAAAATAACTATCATTTAATTAAAATATCACTAAAACCATGTACACGTCGATTTATTTTTACTTAAAAAAACATCCCAGAATTGCACAAAAATGGCATTGCGCACACTCTTCACTATATCCATGTACACTGCTTTTTCTCATAAATTAGAAAAATTTCACGAAAATGCATGACAATTTTCTGAATCTTTAAATCCGGTAAAAAGAACATATATGAAATTACCTGATCGCGAAAAAGTATATACCCTTTCCAAAGATGAACATTTCCACATACAAAATAAATAAAATATCCAAAATCTTTTACCTCTAAATTATCTATTATATTATAAACGTCACCAACGAATTCATACCGCAAACATTACAAATACTTTGTCAAATATTTAAATTATTTCCATGCACGTTTATTTCCACTCAAACGTATACCAAATTCCTACAAACATATAATTCACAAAATAACTATCATTTAATTAAAATATAATTAAATTCAAAAACACTACTTAAAATACAAATAAGCACATACATTAAATTAATAAAAATTAGCTTACAATCCTAATTACTTTAAACTAAATCATTGCTAATAACAATTTTCCAATAATACCATATTACTTTATTTACTCCTTACATTTAGAACAATGCATAAAAATAATATCCTCAAATAATTAAAAATACTAAATTACCTAATCTTCTTCAGAATCTTGATTACGTGGCGGATACACTTTTCTTATTTCCTCCGCTAAATAAAAAGCAATCGTATGTGCGCCTGTTTCAGGATCTTTAAAATCATACTTATAGTTCACAGCACGATGTTGAAAACCTTCATCCTCCAAACAGACTTAATAAAACTTAATAAGCAATCTTTACTTCTATCTCGCACAACCTTAAAAAAATACTTATTACTACCTCTTTCAATCCTACTAAATACCCATTTCGAATTCACTTTAGATAGGGCCATGGGATCAAAAAATTAACCAACACTGTTTCACACAACACGGAATAAAGCTAAATACAAAATTTCCAGATTTCCCCTCTTTTCCGATTAAAGAACAGTAATTCGTCCATTAATGTCACATGATATATCTCATGATCTCTCATTTACCTCACACAAAATAATGCGTAATCGGAACTGAGTACTTCTCACATTATTACCAAAGTCCTAGGTAGTAACCTTTATCGCCTCCAAAATGTCGCCAAACTACCAGTTACCATATTCCAAAGACCAGCCAAAAATTCTTGCATTAATTTTTTAATTTGAAAGATGAAGCTTCAGATTTTTTTTAATAAATGTAAATGCAGTTATGATCCAAAATTATTTGATGAAATATGGTTGCAGTTTATGGTTTATTTAACAGACATCTTTCCCATTTTAATGAAATTAATAATACATCCCTTCAAACACTCAAGATTTATATTACTAAATAATGAACAAATTATAGCATTTTCTATAATATTAAATGCTTGGCTATCAGATTAATATACAATGTTTTGGAAAACTGAATTATTTTCTAATGGAAAATTAATTTAAAGTTAGGTGACAGTATTAAAATGTGCATACTAATAAATATTTTTTAGATAAAAATAAAAATAATATTTCTTAAAGGAAAACTGAGCTATATGACTGGATTAAAAATATATTTCAGAATTACAATATAACAGATCAGTTGCTAGGGCTAGAAAGAAAGCATTTAATTGATATCTCTACAGATTCAACATTAAAAATTAAAATCAGCAAAAATTCAAAGAATTTTTACTTACATATTAATGCAGAATATTCAGAATGATCCTAATGCAATTCACTGCAATTTATTTGAGCAAAACATATTTTCACCTTACGTAAGGAGGAGAAGATAAATAAAAAAATTTTTTAAATATGCACATAATGCAATAACATTTCATAAATGAATAACTGCATGTATGAAGCCTTTGTTCAAATTGTTCAATAACGTTTTTTTTTTTTTTTTTTTTTTTTTTTATTATTATTATTACAGTGAAACAATGATTTTTCTTCATTTTCCACATAAAGCAACAATACTTTTTTTAACATTAATTCTTTTGTGAACTGTAAGAATTCCAAAAGCAAAATATTGCAGTATTATTGGTTCCTTGAATCAACGAAGCTTAAAAACTGCTGGGTTACATGGAGATCTTCCCAAGGGAACCACCTCTTATTTACTTTACGCATGGAGAAAATGAATTGACTAATAAAAAATCATATTTTCCCTCTACACAGTGCACATGCATTCAAACACTTTGTCAGAATAATAATAACACAGTGCACATGCATGCAAACACTTTGTCAGAATAATAATATCGCAGAAAAGGGAATAATAAATCGCTTTTTAAAAAGGGGAAATAAGATTACTAGATGCTTTTGTATGGGCACTTAAAATCAACATTCTGAACTTCCTTCTAGTTTAATTACACGTAGTACATTATGAACAAGGCTAACAAAATTATTAACACACACACTATAAAATTTGATAGCTTCAAACACGAAAATATTTCAACTGAATGAGTCGAAAGAAATTCCAGCAAGATATAGTACTGAAAAAATACTTATATTAATTACTTGAAATTCTGTGCCTTATAAAATCGGCAGTTTCATGTATATTATGCAAAACAATAAGAAGTACTGACTTACCCATAATTAGCTGTATCTTTTACCACACGCATCTGGACTAAAGCTGTGTATACAACTGCAAATGATTAACAATTAAAAAACATATTGAGTAAATAAATACAAATAATTATACATTTATAATACACTAACGGGAATAAATTCTTTCTGAAAAAACAGGGCACGTTTTAAAGCAATTTTAAAATTTTACTTAATTGAATTAACCTGTGAAATGTAAACTCGTGAGAAATAAACATGTTCTTAAATGTAAATACATCATTGTCACAATTTTCCACAAAATTAAAATATTTTAGTAGCATATTTCATATTTAATACACAATTATATCAATCAGCATTTCATAATTAACATTTCTAAACCACACACATATTTAAATTACCACCAAACAAAAACTATGTTGTCGTAAGTAAATAACTCAAATTGCCATCTCGTAACGGAAAACTTCCGGCCAATATTATGTTTCATAGTGTTGCCGTTTTCTCAAACTTGCTGACAGGAAAAATTATTACTAGAGCCTTAATTATTACGAGCTTCATGAAATATGACGTCACTTTTGAACAAGAAGTAATTTTAGAGACTCTTAATGGTTAGTTTTTTTATTTTTGTACATGTTTCAATGTTTTCTGTATTCCATGAATTTGTTTTGAGTTGTAGCTTTCGTTTTGGTTTCAGATTCAAACAGTAAATTTGAATTTAAGTGAAAGATTTTGAATCTTCTTTTAGAGTTTGACACATGCCTTAATTCCGGGCACGGAAATATTTGTGATTAGAGTCTACTATATTACTTCCTTTTTGGGGGGCGGCCGAGCGGTAAAGTCGTTGAACACTGGTAGTTCGGTCCGAGGTTCGAATACTGCGAACGGGCTTGCTGAATGGGCGTTTTCGTGGTTTTCCCCATGTGTAACGTGTATACGAGCCAGTTTCCCTTAGAAAGTCCTCTACGAAGGCATCCCTTCCCTTAGGCAGATAGCCCTCGAGGCTTTGTCATAATTACACAAACCAACCAACCAAACCAAACCTTCTTTTTTTGGAACACTTGGATTTTAAAAAGTTCTGCTTTGAATTCATAATCATGTTTCATATAAAAAAACTGCAATCAAAATTAACTTCTTTTTTTTTACTGTGGTGATATACATGTCTAATATGGATTCTGGATGGTTGATCCAAGGCCAACTAGATATCTAGATACCCTTGGTTTATCGCTCTGCTTTAAGAGGTGACTGAGTCTGTAACTACTAGACTTTTTATGATAGGAAGCTTGAGTGAGTGAATGAGTGTACCGCTATGATGGCTTCCGACCACGGACAGGAACCAAGCGGAATTATATACCATCACGGCGGTGAAAATTCCAAAGCAACAAGGTTGAATATTACATACTAATAACAGTTTCTATAGTTTGATAACTGCAGGCACCAAGCATTAATCTGGTTATCTGCTGTATATTCTGAACATTTGAAACATATTCTTCACGGTTGTTTTTGCTTACGCAGTGTCTTGAGATTTTCTCTGTTTTACCAAAGGCTACTCTATTTTTGAGTGTGTTAGACGTCCACATTGTCCAGGCACAGTCCGCTGGTTTCTTAAAGTGTCAGGCTCTTGTATGTACACAATGAAACTAATAATGGTTCTTACCGCCTTCCTCTCCGCATTCGCTGAAATAAGCATCCCTAAGTCTGAATCTGTTGAGGTATACTAAGAATGGTCCATGACCTGTCAAGAACTGTGTTAGGCTAGCACAGTGGGTCTTCCATATTAACTTTTGTCAGTAAGCGCTATATCCTTCGTCCTACCTCTTCCCATCTAATTTGCCAATTTTGTAGCAGATTTGTCAAAGTTGTTTGCTTAATGGGAGATTAAGGAAGTTAAGTTGGTCTTTCTAATATATCCGTGCAGTTGGCAACTTGCTTGACCAGTAGGTCACCGGCTTCATTGCCTTGATTTCCTGTATGAGAGGGAACCCATTTTAAAGTGGGTCTTTGTGAGATAGGCATTGCCAGAAGCTGTTTCTGAATTCGGTATACCAAAGGACTCCGGATGGTTTGGCTTGCGAAGGCCTCCAGACTTGATGCCGAATCTCTGAGTACGGAGAATTTCTGCTGTCGACATGTGTTCACATACCTAATTGCAGCACTGATGGCTAGAAACTGCTTGGTATACCGAATTGTTCAAGCCTAGTTTCCTCTTCCACTCGAATGTTACAACACCATTTTCTGGTCTACAGAAGGCGCTGCCCGTGCCGTTCTCCGTTTTGGAGCCATCTGTGAAAAGTTTATTACCGTAGCTTTGAATTAGTCGGTCGTTTACGCTGATACCGTCGGAGAGAATAAAAGCAGCTGGATGAAAGTTATTGCAGATGTTTTGCTCCTCATAATCCAAATGATGATATCTATGTGCTCAGAGTGCTGAAGTTTGACCCAGGTAACCCTTACGATAGCTGCCTCTCTTTCAACTATCAAATCTAGGGGAGGAATTCCTGCCAGTTGTTGTAGGGCTAGTGTTGACGTGGTACGGTAGGCCCCTGCATATTTGAAGTAGCTGCTGTCTCTGAATAGAGAGCAGAGATCTTCTCATGTGAGAAGTAAGTTCACCACCCCAGATTGCCGCTCCGTAAGTTATTACTCGTTCTGTAATGGTTCTATGTCAAATTTTTAGTAGTTTAGATGAGATACCCCATTTATGTGAAGTCATGCGTCTCATGTTGTTGCTTAGTATGCTCTTTCGAGTCTTAAGATTCCTGCCATGTGGCATCCAGGAAAGTCTGTTGTAGAGTATTAGCCCAAGATATTTTAATTGGGGAAAACGTTTTACCGGTATCCCATGGGGACACTTGGGTTGCGTCTGAGCTGCCTGCTACGTCCTATGAGTAAAACTTTAGGGAGCTTGAGTGTATATTTGAGCCTTCTTACTTCAGTTGCCATTAGCTGTGAATCGCATGATTTTCAACATCGACGAGCAAATATTTCTTAAAACCGGTCTCTTATTTTCGAAACCATTTGCACTGCTGTTGTAACCTTAAAATGACTTTAGAAGGGGAACATGAGACACAGTTTCTTGTTTTTGTTATGGAGTTTTCTATATTATGTTATTTCAAAATAGGAACTTCAAGATCTTACTGATCTTCCTCTCATTTACAACTGTAAGGTGGGCCGTCAGTGCCCCACAAAGAGGAATTTGAGATTTTAGGAAATTAGAATGCTTGATCATTTTCTATAGAAAAATAGCAGTCGTTACTACAGTTGCAAGTCACGCCAGGAAGATGATATGACATTGAAGTGCGTATTCTATAATAACAGACTTATAGCGTTATTAGGATTTAATGAAGAAGCGCAATACTGGGTATAATTGGTCAGTTTAATTATTGTGAGTGTGGGCGGTGGGGATAATACGGCCGCGTACTTTTTAGGAAGAAGGGTTATGATGCAACTGTGTGATTTTCAGCCAAATAGTACCAATGACCTCGGAAATGTAACTTTGAGATTCCAGTATGGAATTACAGCAAACATGGCAAAAAAAATCTAAGCAGATGTAACAGGAATGTTTCCAGAGTCCCTTATTTCATAACGCGGTGACATTGTATTACCGGTTTTCTCAGAAGATCTGCTCTATTGTAATAATTTTCTTTCGGAGATAATGAAAACTTTACACTTTTTACTTACTTTACAAGAAAGGAGTTTCGCATATGGAACTATGGTGATAAAGACTGCTGCAAAAGATTTCATACTAAAGGATGGCGGAATATTGTGTCTAAGCTGAATTTGTAAAAAACCATAAAGAGTCACGATTTTGAAATATTAGATAATTATTTTCTTTTTTTTAGAGCTTAACTACCCCGTTTATCAATATAAATATAAATTTCTTCTTGCTCCCACTGCTAAACTCAATTTCAGAAAATCAAAACAGGACACAAGGACTAAACTATATTTAATTACTTTCACTACAGATTTTGCTGTTTAACATGTAAAGCCTTATTCAGGTGATATAACGCAAGAATCAATGTTAAGGTAGTAAAGATACTTTATATCAGGTGACTAACTTTCATAAGTACAAGTCTAATTTATTCAAACTATTTTTGAATTTAAAGTGATTTCATTTATTTCGTTATTTGATTTAGAGATAAAATCCACAGATCTTCACTATCTATTTTACTTTCATTACCACCTGATAGTTACAGTTGTAAGGATCTTAAGTTTTACTAACGTTTATTTTATTTTAAATCTTTACTATCACTTCTTATTTTCTACTTCCGGCCAGAATTATAAGCGTTAATGTATTTATGCAAAGTTTGTCTGGCGAACGCCATGTATTTAAGTTGTGGCTTTTTGCCAAGCGAGAGAGAGGAAGCAGTTAGTCGAAGCAGGCCGCTTACCTTAGAAGTTTTACTCAGTTGCTGGTTGCCTTCCAGGCCAGAGGTTTTAATCCTCTTGATAATTTTAAAACGTATTGTAGTGTTCACAGTTCTCTGTACTACATACGGCTTCCTGTTAATATAAGGACCAATCTTCCACGTTTATTATTTTAAAGTTAAATTAGAGTTTAGTTTATTTTTTATTTTTACGTTTAGACCACAAGTAGTGGGTCTGTGTATTCCGAAGTACGGAAGTTATTGTAAATAGAGAAAAATAAAGGGTTTGTATACCCTTCTTGTGTATCCTGTCTACTTCCCACAGTTATTGAACATAGCTTTAGTAAGCTCTCTGTTCCGAGTCAGGTCCTTGCATGTTCCCGAAGAAAGTAAGACGAAACATTGAACCTGATAGTGGCGCCCAACGAAGAAGAATAACCATGGCCGAGTTTCAAGAAGAACCTGTGCTGCCTGCAGAAGCGGCTCAGAATCCAGAAATGCCAGCTGCCGCCCTGGAAGGATTTGGTTACATCGTCCAGACCATGCGCGCTTCGATGAAACCAGAAGCAACATTTAATGGAAACTCACCGGTAACCAGTTTTTTGGAAAAATTGGATGACCACTTCATGCTCTAACCCCGTGCACGAATTTCAAAAGTTACCTTAGCTACCAGCGCTTTGAGGGGCCAAGCGCTTAACTGGTTAAAAATGTATAGGCAGAAGTCTCTTGGGTCAAGCAGGAAGTCCCAACCTATACTTACGAAAATTTCAAGACTGCCCTAGTAAAAGCCTTCCCTGTCGTAAGGGATCGTGCGAAATTAGAAACGGAACTTTTCAGTATATATCAACAAAGAATCGAAAATCTCTCAAGCTTTATTTTAAGAAAAATTCACGTCTTCAAACTCTTGTATGGAAACCGTCCGGATCCTGAGATAATTCAAGTGATTTTGCCGAGGTTACTGCCCCAAGTGCAAGACTTTATTGAATTAAGAAATCCGACTACACTGGAAAAGTTATTTGAGCTAGCAATCCAGTTTGAAAGTAGAAGAACGGCGGACATTGAAAGAAGACGCCAATATCAACAGCGAAACC